TCGACTAGCATTCCAACAGAAGTGGAAACTAGGCCTGCTGGCCAATGGGTGCAACCCATGATAATATGCGGGTGTGCACCTGTCAAAGTTTTCTCAGGTGCCCGGTGAACGAGAAGGGAGGAAAGGCGTACACAACTAAGTGGGTCCACGGGGTTAGCAAAGTGACCCTGGCCAGGCTCCTGGAGTCAGCAGGAGTGTTACGTACGTCGGGAGCTTGGCATTCCGGGGTGCGGCAAACCGGTCCAACCTTGGACCGTCCCACAGCCAAAACAGCCTGGAGGCTACCCACTGGGGTATCAGCCACTCCGTGTTCCGAAGACGGAAACACCCTGAAAGGGCGTCGCCAGACTGTTCCTTACCCCTGGAAGGTGGTGTGCGGTTAGCTCCACATTGAATTCCAGGCACCAAAGGAGGATTTGCTCCACCAGGACTGACAACGATGGGGAAAGCGTCCCTCCTCCTTCTTGAAGGAGACCACCGCTGCGTTGCCTGTGCGGAGCAGGACTCTGTGGTCTCAAACTACGAGTAGCAAGCGTGGTAGTGCCAAGTACACTGTTCTCAGTTCGAGCCAGTTGATATGGTAGTCCCGAAACTAATGCGGGGGCCATATCCTTGGGCTTGTTGGTCCAATAGATGTGCTTCCCAACCCTGGGGGAGGCATCTGTTAGCAGAGTCATACCTGCGGCGAGCGGGTCCAAGGGGCACTCCGTCCGAGGTTGGCCAGTGACGACCACCAGGGCAGGGCTTCCTTCACTTGGTCCAAGAACAAAACCCGCCTATCTAGTTCCCATAAGAGAACTCTGTGTTATAACAAGCGTTATACCGGGCGGCTGAGTAGTGCGGCCTGGGGAACACCCTTTGAACTGAGGTCATCATTCCGATGATCTGTATTAGTTCTCGGAGGGACACTGAGGGAACGCCGACTAGGCATTCGACTAGGCTGCTTAGCGCTAAGCAACACGCTCGATAAGCCAAGCTTACCTCTGTGTCAAAACTCCATGCCCAGGGACACCAACTGCGTGTTGGGTCGAGGTGGGACTTGTCGATTTACTAATGAGCCCAACTGGTGAAGTAAATCCTGTGTTAGCCTGACGTGTTTGGCTATTAACCCCTTGCCATGGTTGTTAGTAACCAGTAGTCTGGGTACGGGTTGAGGTGTACCGACATCTGGTGAAGCAGCAGTACTACCTGTTTCATCACTCGGGTGAACATGTAGGGCGCTGTGCCTAACCCGAATGGGGGGGCACCCAAAAATTTGAATACTTGGCCCAGCTGGGCAATTTGAAGGAGATGGCAACTTGCTGGGTGCATCGGTATGTGCCGGTAGGCCCTGCTTAAGTCTAGTGAGGCTAGCCAGTCGAAACAGTGGATGGAGAGGAGAACTCTGAATGGTGTCTCCATGTGGAACCGATCGAGGAGCACGTACTGATTCAGTCTGCCTAGGTCCAGAACCGGACGCCCGCCACTTGTAGATTTGGTACTACGAACACATTTGGGTAAAGCCTGGACTTGGTTCCGGCTGATGTATGGCACCTTTCCCAGCAAAC